CTACCTCCCCTAGGACATTTGGGGAGTCATTAACTTCAACTTTAATATATTCCTTCACTAATATTTTTGATGTGTTTTTTTATATATGCAAAACTAGATTATGTTTCAAAATAAGAAACTGAAGATACATTTCAAGCAAACATAAGAGCAATTGGAAAAGAGTGTTCATAAGGGTTTAAATCAGTGTTTTTCAAACTTGGCAAATATAAGATATTGGGACTTCAACTCCCAGATTTTCTCAGCCAGCCTCGTACACACCTTAAAGTTGCCAGCTTTGGTTTAAATGTTTCGAATGTCATCAACCAGGTTCTGTGATTATTTCAAAAAATTTCAAAGCGCAGAAGTAAAGAATCCTTGTGATTGAAGTCTTCTGTGAAACAAACTGCCTTTCCTTATAAATTGTTGATAATAATATCTCAAATCCCAGGAAGAGCAAAATTGGAGGATTATTTATGGCTTTGCTATTTTTTTCTCTCTGTTATCTTTGTTTTATGCAAAAAAAAATTTTTTTACTTCATGCTTACCCACCCATCCAAATGCACACACAAAATATTCCTATTAAACCACCTGTTCATTTTTCAGGTTTTTGGGAGCATATTTATTATATGACATTGAAGAACTTGCAGTACATTTAGTGCATAGCATATCAATTTGGGTTGACACATCAGGCTGCATGGAAAACTCAATTCAATTCAGCGAAAAGCTCATCTACATGCTGCTTTGTGATTCTGTCCTTTATTTCTGTGATGTCCTCTGCAATTTGTACTTCTCTGTGTTTTGGTTTAACAAAGCATTAACCATTTTTCCTTCAGTTTTTTATCAGGACACCATATTAAGAGCTTTTCCCCACATTCATTAATATTGCCAGTTTACTTAATTATCTGCTTGGAAATTTTCTGATTCCAAACCTGTTGAAGGTAAATTTGCTTTAAAAACAACGGAATTTGCAATTTTGGATGCTGCACATTCAAACACAATTTTCAAATATTTGGCTAATATTAACTGAATATTGATATCACTGAACATTGGCTCTGGTGGTTGACTTTATATTGGTCAGCTATTCCTTTTTTGACAGTATTGGATAACTAATCTATAATAATAATAATTCACATTTAATAGAATTGTTAATTGACATGCAGTAATAAATTGTATTTGACAGAATGTGATAGATGGTATTTAATGTTACAAAGTATCTGAATATTGGATGATGTATAAACTTTGACAATTGCCATAATCCAAATGCCATAAAGCATCCCCAGCTGAAATGAGAAGGGAAAATGTCAATTGTGAAAATATTGAATTCAAATTTGAGATCTTAAGTTTTGAACTCCAGATACGAATATAGAAAATTATAAAAATATGTACAGAAACTGGGAATAAATTCAGAAGTACTGCATAGTAATCTACATGATTATGTGAATGGCTCTGAGAAATTTATATAAAAGAAAATGAACAAAGTGGATTACAAGAGAATGGATAGGGCACACATGCATTCTTCCTTTCCTGCTTTCTTTCCCTGGGTTCAGTCCCTTGTGGTCACTTCAAAGTTATTTTTTTCTACTGGAGGATCCTTTGGAATCCTGAGAGGTATAGAATAAGAGGAACAATATTTGGGTAGAGCTACTAAAACAAAAGGGTCTGTTCTATACACCAGGCAAGAATGAAATTAAAGCACCTTATATGGATCCAAGCCAGGGATAAAATGAATTTTTGATGAAAACAACCTTCAAGAAATATGAATGAAAATAATTAAGTAAAAGATTTTTCAGAGATGAAGGATAAACACAATTGCTCAAGGGTAGTGATTTTCCATCATAGTTGCTATACACTGGCCAGACATCTGGGTTAAGTATTAGGGGAAGAGGGGGTAATATATAAACTTAGAAGGTTTAATCCCCATCCCTGATGTCAACTCATAAAGTTGCCATGGTCAGGAAAGTGGGGGAGCACATTCCATACATATTTTCGGCTAGGTCTCAGATTACTACAGCAGACTTGTTAGGGGTGCACCTCACTGGACAATGTGATTTATGACATAGACTGGGGGGGAGGGGAGGAACAGGGGCAAAGTTCAGCTATAATTCAAATGAGGCTTAGATATGACTGCAACAGGGTATTGCCAAAATGGTGCTCCTAATAAATGACTGGTTTTCTTTTGAAACTTGGCTTGAGACCAGCGTTCCCTCTAAGCTGCGCGCCTGATCGGCCGTGCAGGTAACAAAAAAACACCGTGCACAAGTTTCAAACTGTAGTGCAGTGTTTTTTAATGTCTTTAAATGTGATTAAAAATATCCCCCTCCCCCCCTTTTCTCTCTGCACCGAACTCTCTCCTCCATCTTGTGATTGGTGAAATCAAGAAGACTCTGCCTGGAGATCGATGACGCTGCAGAAAGGAGAATTTCCATTGGTCCTCTGGGGCTTCATCAGTTCCTGGGAAAACGGGATTCACTGGTTGTAGCCTGCGTTTCTCTGCACATCCGGGGTTTCTCAGGCATTGCCTTGTCTGAAGCCCCGTTCTGGGCTCAGCATTTTTTCTGCGATCCCTTCGCTTTGGGGAGAGAGGGAAGCAGCGTGGAATTGNCAGTGCTATTCTTTCAGGATTGCATTTAATACCCCTAAAAAGCCCTAAAATTCTAATTCTATACTTTCTCAACACTTACATTTTTTTATTGTCATTTTGGTTGGGTGTTTTAAAGCTTTGTTGGGTGCCTTTTACAGGAAGCAGGGAAGAGGCAGGAGTGGTACTGACTGCTTCTTGGCCATCAGGCACCTAGTTTCTTGCCTTCAACCATTATCTAACTTTGAAATTTTACTAGGTGGATTGTTTGGGTTGCCTCTCCTCTTGTTTCTCTCACTTTTTAATCTTCCTCCCTGAAGCAAGATTGGTTACACACAGGCACGCTCAGAAAGCAACAATAAGTGAGAAGGATGAAGTGGTGGTGCAACATAAATGGCAACATTTATTCCATCGGCTTAAATAAAAGTGGCCGGAACATCATTCCTCCCATTAAACTTTCAACTTTGCTGCTTCGGTTGCAACCATCCCTGCATATAACAAATTGGTTGAGGTCATTGACCCAATGACTTGCATTGTGCCCTTTGCCCTTCACTTTTTAAAAACATTAGTCCCGATTTAATGACATGTCTTTCTTAGTAAAACTTATTTTAATCTATCCCATACTGTTTTGGGGATAGAGAGAAACAGGTAGAAAAGCACCATGCTTATGTATTCACTGGGATTATTTATAATTTAACAATACAGCTCTATAATTTAACAATGCAACCCTATAATGTTTTATTCTCCTTAACTCTCAGAAAGCATATCTTGGGCCATATTGCATTCTGCATAAGCTTAATAATTCTCTAGCTCTCGTTTTCTCATAGTATTGAGCCCACAAGTCTTCATGAGTTGACAATGGAGTCATCATTTTTAATTGATGAATTCAATTCTAGAATTGCCACCCTGTAATGAGCATAGCAGGTGTTGCTTTTTAAAATCTCTTGTGAAAGGTAGAAAGTCAGGATAGGTGTGCTTGGTCCTCTAGGCTCCTTCTCCTTGACTCCTGCATGGAACATATTTCTGCCCTTCCCTAGACAAGGAAGGCCATTCATCAGATAAGGAAACCACAAAAAACAATGGTTCTCCTCCTTCTGTGGCTGCCTCATTTTCCAGGTTAATAGATGGCTTGAAGGGCAACATCCAATATGTTGTTTGCTAGATCAGAGTTCCCCAGCCTTTCTGGCTTTGTGGAGGTGGGGAGAGAGGGGATGATTCTAGGCTAGCGGTTGGCAAATGCATGTGCAACTCCATTTTTATGAGTGGCGAGCATGCTCTGCTTGTGCAAGTGAAGTGTGTGCATACATGCTTGCCCAAAGCTTGCACAAATAGGGATGCAATAGAACCTGGATATCTACGAGACCGTCTTCTGCCACATACCTCCCAGCATCCAATAAGATTACACAGGATGGGCCTTCTCCGGGTGCCGTCGACTAGACAATGTCGTCTGGTGGCTCCTCGGGGGAGGGCCTCCTCTGTAGCTGCCCTGGGCCCTATGGAACAATCTACCCCCTGAGATTCGGACCTTCCCCACTCACTCGGCCTTCCAAAAGTCTA